ATATATTATTACGCTGAAAACACATGCCTTTTGTCATCGGCTGATCGACACGCAAGAGATTGCCCCGGGTCTTACTGCATACCTATTATGCATATCTCGATGCATTATCTAGTTTCGTACAATCAGCGAGGAATATGAATGCGTTATAGATTTAACGATGTTTTTTGCATGCATGTTCTATGTTTTGTATCTTTTTTTTTCTTTTTTCAAAATACTTAATTATCTTAGTTCATGCCGGGTTATATTTGATATTAGATATTGGTTTATTTAGAGCAACTTGAATTAAATTCCGATTAACTATCGGAATTCCTTGCAACATTTTTAATTTTATTATAAATTCATTTATCTTTAATCCGATTATTCTTTCCTTATATTAAGCAATAAATAATTGATAATTCTATCCGCGTTTATAAAATACCATAAATGCTTTAATAAAGTAATCGCCAATAAATTAACAAGCATTTTTGTAATTGCATTTTGTCTTTTTTCCTTTTCTTTGATCTCCAAGACATTTAATACATTAAAATAATTGAAAATTTATTTTGTTTTAAATGTTACAGTTTATCCATGTAAAATGATATAATTCTCACTAAATGATTATCATATATTAAGTACAAACATCAGATGGTTAACAATTAGCCTATCGATTCTACGTTTAATTCTTTTCTTATCTTTGGATTAACATATATAAAAACTGCCGCGTGGTAAGTATTGCTGTATTTTAATTGTGTGTAAGAGTTATATATAGCTTTTTCTTCCATTATGCTTATATCGTGATAATTTTTAAAATGCAATTGTATGCTTCATGTAACATCGCGCAAAGCGTATTCCGACGTAATGATTTATCTCTATCGATCTAAAATATATATTATATTATACGTACTTGAGAATCAGTTATTGCGTTCATATTTTCTATTCCAATTTTATTGAAAGACGCACACACACACAAAATTTCTACAGGTTGCTCGACGCACGTTATATGTTGTTCAATTAATCAAACAGATTTATTCGTGATGAGAGACTTGTATAAGGAGAGAGACTTGCGTTCTCTCGAGTTACGTATTATAAGAAACGTATTACATCGTTATCATTGGCAGTGATGAGACTGCAATATCTTCTACTCATTTTTCCTATTTTTTCACGAAGGGAGACAAAGTGTTTTTCGAAGCCAATTTAAACAACGCCGATTTTGATTACTTTATTTTCTATGGCATTTTGATAATATTAAAAATATTAATTAATTTTAAAACAATATGATAATATGCTAAAAAATTATAATTAATGTGTAATGCAAATAAATTCCTAACTATTCCTCTTTCATCCTTTTTTTCTCCTTGTATTTTCATCTCCTTTTATCTATTCCTCTTTTCTTTTTTTTATTTATATTAAATATTCTTATTTTTATCTCCTGTCTCTATAATTT